TATATATATATATATATATATATATCGCCATGCTTCTGGGTACACTGTGCCGGTGGAGTAAGCGTACACCTGGATATGTATTTTGGCGGCAGAGCACACTTGTAGAGTTAGAGCACGCCAAGCGCAGTTATTTACTCTCTGAACGTCCATTGCCCATTGCAGATGTTGCGCGGCGTATGGTGCGTGTAAAGGCACGCTATCTTGACACAAATGACTTTCATGAACAGAACCTTCTTCGTGGGGAGTATAAATACTTCTCTGGAAAACTCTGTGATATTCGTCATTCCCGTCCAGAGGATATGATTGCATATGTTGAGTGTGGTTCTTTCTTTGGTTTTTGGGATACGGCGCAGATGGATAGAGTGATGGATGAATTACTGTTGAAATTGGAGGAATTAGGACCCGCAGAACTTGTACATCTCTTCATATCTTTACCTTCTCTGCGAAAACAGGGAAGTATGCTTTATCAACATGTGGCCCGTGCCCTTGTGGACGCCGTGCCGGATCTTTCATTAGAAGAATGTATGCGAGTAACAGCGGCGTGTGATGAGACAACACCGCAGGAACTTGTGCATAATTTAATGCGGGCATTTGAACCGGAAGTAATAAGTGGTGGTCTCACACCATCACAGGCTGTGGAGTTGATGGATATGTTAGGCGCATCCACTCCCGCTATGCAAGAGGAGTTTGAATCCTTGTTTGAAAAGATACGGCAGACGGCCGTGGCTGGAATAGATACACTCTCTTTAATGGATATTGCCGTGATGTGTACATCGTTGAAAATGCGAGAGATATTAGATGTGAAGATAGAGAGTGATGCAGTACATCAATTTCTTCATCGATTAGATGAGAGTTGTGCGAGATCAACGGCGATGATGTTTGGGGCAGTTAGTAATACACATTCCTTTTCACAAGCCATGGAAGAACGGGTAGTTTTTCTTGCAACCGATTTTACACCAACCGAGTTGCTTAGTGTCTTTAGGGTGTATATGGATGATTTTACTTCCATGTGTCTCGTTTCCTCTGGTGATAATCTAACAGGAATCTCATTAGCCTCATCCGCATCTTCACAGGATGTATTCACAAATAGTCGTTTAGAGGAATTGCAGTTTGCGATTCAGCGTAAATCAGCACTCATGCATGTATTACAAGAGCTTACAGATCAAATGGTAACACTATTGGAGTCTGCTGCTTCTTACATGTCACCTTTTGCACAACTTCAACATTTAGAAGTTTTCTACAGAGCTGTGGAAGATCTGGATGGAAATGTATCTCAACTAACAGAATCCCTCCCACGCATCTCTCGCTGTCTTCATCTCCTCTCTGCAAAGATTATCGCCTCCGTAGGGCAGTACACTTACTCTGAACTTGTAGCGTTACTACAACTATTCGGACCTTTAGGAAGACTCGTTTCAGATGCGGCCGTAGGGGCTGCGGTGCAGGAACTCAGTCGGCGGGATATTGCGAGTACGAGAGATGAGGCGATGGAGTTCTGCACAGCACTGCAGCAAGTCTCGGGTCTTCGGGCGGAATATCAATCTCGTATTGTAAACCACTTGCTGCCTAAACTTCGTGAACACTGTGCGCAAGATGGTTGACAATGAATTTCTATCCTTATATCTATTACTATTTTTTTTTTTTTTTTAAGGAGGGATGAGGTGTGACTCACTCGTATTCCTAAAGAGTCCTATTTCACATGTGTTTTTTTTTTTTTTTGTTTTTTGTTGTTCTTTTCATACTTCGAGTAATCTAATTTTTTTTTTTTTTTTTCGTTCTTTTTGAACTTGTGTTCTTTTTTTTATCCCCCGTTTAAATTCTTCTTGGTATATATATATATATATATATATATATTTGGCTGCTGAAGGCGAGTAGGGTGCTGAGAAATTAATCTTGCCTGTTCGTGTTCTCTGACCCATCGAAGTAGAAACTCATACGTTTATATATATAAATCAACTACAGAAGACGGAAGGAAGAGCAGAAAAAGCAAAAAAAAAAAAAAAAAAAAAAAAAAAACCGAATATAGTAAAATAAAGAAAAATAAAGGAGGAACAAATATATATATATAGATTGAGGGGAGGAGATAATAGTGATGCTACGCCGTGTACGACTTCTGTATTCACCTCTTGATGAACTTATCATCACTGGAAGCCGTTGGTCACGTTTATTAGCTAAGCCAGTATCAAACGGATCCACATCATCCTCAACATCATCATCATCATTAACCAAAACACCATTTATTACACTCATTCCAACATTGCATGTGGCCTCACTACAGTTCTACGATAAGGTACTAGATTACATGGTAAAGGCTGTAAAGGAGCGGGATAATGTTGTGATTCTACTAGAGGGCATCTGCGATGATGAGGATGTCGAAGTACAACAAATGGAGGAGTATTTTCAAATTTCCCACAACGCTGATCTCCGCACTGCGCTGCTGAAGAAAGCCGACACGAACACTCTCTACACAGAAGAAACAATGCGGGTGATATGTGAAGAGTTGGCGGTGCGATATGATGCCCTTAAAGAGGCCGCCGCAACTGTACGGCTGCAGGAGTGTTATCTCCGACCAAAAATGGCCGCACTGGTTGGCGCTCATCTCCGCAATGATGCGGATCTCAACATGCGAGAGGTGTTAGCCATTCTCCGTGAGGAGAACAGTAGTGATGAGAAGAATGCCGATATGACTATTGACATTCCCGTCAGTCAACTCGGCGCACAACCGGCAGTGCGGCAAAAACGAGAGGCGAAAGTTGCGAGAGCCGCACAACAAAGATGTGTGGAGTGGGCGCGGCTTGGATGCGGCGGTGAAGTAATTCTGCCGTGGGGATTTTATCACGCGGAGGCCATTCGACATAATATTCTCGCCATGAATGCAAAAGATGATAATGTGGTGTTTGTAGAGAGTGATGAGACACTCTGCCGTGTACCTTTTGGAGTTACTAGGGAACTCCTTGAGTGTGCTGATAGCAAACCCGCACCGAAGTAAACAAGAATGATGAGGAAGAGGAAGAAGAAGAAGAAGAAGA